TGGAAACTGAATATATGTATAAATAGATTCCTGAAATATAATTTGTATGTGAGATTTGTTATTAAAACTCATTTTTAGATGGGGCATGGTGGTGCATGCCTTTAATCCCAGCACTCAGGAGACAGAGGCAGGCAGAATTGTACGAGATCCAGACCAGCCTGGTCTACATAGCAAGTTTGAGGCCAGCTGGGATTCCAGGAAGACTCTGTTTGAAAAAGACCAAAACAACAGCAACAACAACAAAACACATTAAAAAATCATTTTGAGCTATACTATTTTTATTCATAATCAATAATAATGACAAAGTCCTTCTTCAACCTTATCTTTTAAATTTATCAAGTCAAGCAAGTCTGTTGAGCCCTGACCTTTATGCTTCCTTTTAGGGATTCCCAACAGCCTGAAGCATTCTGCAGTTCTTTCTGATCTGTCAACAGCTCTTAATACCATCATTTTGGGGGATTCTGTTATCCTGTGAAATTTAATCTCACCTATTTAAGCTTGCAGAAAGTACTAGAGGGAATTATTAACAGATTTTCCCTCATCTTCTTTAGAGGGTAGCGCTCCGTGATTGGCTGGTTTCCCGAAGGACCGGTGACTGAGAAGCACTAGTTTGTCAGTAGCATCCTATTTAGCATGTGTGTGAGGCCACTGGGGAGCCTGAGAGGCATTTGGAATCAGAATTACACCAATATGCTGAAGATGCTTCCCTATCGTCATTTCATCAAACTTATATCCTTTAGCATTAATGCTTTCTTAACTAAGATGGAATGCTGCTTCAAACAGCACACCGCTTATGGCTCTAATTAGACAGCTGGAAACTCACTGATGATACATAAGAGCAGTGGACCAGCAGCCTCAGTATCACCAGGGAACTTGTTAAATGCAAATTCTCAGGCCCACCCTGGAACCTACTCTTTGAGAAACTCCTGGGACCAAGCCCAGTAGTCTGTGCTTAACAAGCATTTGGTGATTTTATTTCAAAATTTGAAGATCTCTGTATTAGTGAAGTGGAATGTTTCTGCTACTGAAAAATCTTTTGGAGTTGCCTCCTAGGTTTATTGATTAAAATATTTCTGGATTTAGTCATATCAGTCTTGATTGCTAACCATTCAAGACATGAAGAGTCAATCAATTCGATGGCCAAAGTCATTGACCTCTATAGTAATTCACATCTGTTACTAAAGGTTAAGAAAACTTTGTATTATTCTTCTTTTTCCTCTCTGAAAGAATGAGAATTAGACTGAGTTCCTTTCTGAAAAAATTAGAAGTAGCCTGAAGTTTTAGGTACACTCATGCTGGTGTGCTTAATGACAAGTCAATTAACTAATGGACAAATCATATATTTCCAAAGTTCACCCAGGTCCAAATGATTAAAAATTATATTTATTTGAAAAAAAAAAAACTGTAAGACTTTGCTTTTCACTCGCCATTGGGCTTAAAGAAATAAAGTATGGTTGAAGCTTGTGTGTTGAAGGCAGAAAGCATAGGAAAAATGTGAGAAATATAGAAGAACTGGGATACTTTATGTTAGTTGAAAAATACATCCCTGATCTCAGTCTCTCAAACTTCAGGTATTCACGTAGGTGCATGATAATTGATCACCCTGCTATCTCAGTTAGAATCCTGGACACTCTAGAGGTATGCAAAACCAAGTCATGACTAAGATGGATGAACATGGAAATTTCCATACATTCTGGAATCATCCAATCTAAATACTATAGGCACTGGCAAGTTACCCAAGTTTGAAGTCTTTGTACATGTTGATAATGCATTCCTTATTCTCTCATATTCAGGTTTTGTCTAAAGTTACCAGATGAGCCCTCAGGCCTATAGCATCCAGTTCACCTTGAAGGTCAATACTAGAAGCCCTGATGCTGATTCCCTCCAGAAAGCATTCATCCTACAATCGTTTCTTGAACACTTTGTATGTGGTGTTCGTGTTCTAGGTAAGAGGAATGATGGCATGAGCGAGGAGGGTGACTACAGTCCTTGCTTGCTCTCATGAAGATCAAGGTCAAGTAGTTTTATAAACGTACACAAGTTTTAGTTCTTTGTAAGGTAATAACAAAGAAGCATTTGCCCTTCTAGTTGTAAGTCCCAGATCAGTGTGAGTTCTATAGAAGCTCTACTACAGGCATACAACTTTGTTCCAGAGGGTGCAATAGTTCTCAGCACCCTGCAACCCTGTCTATTTTACTCATATCTGGCTCTCTACTGAGCTGTGCCTAGATTCTAGTTTTTTCTATTCTCTATTCTGTCACACTGGCCAATAATTTATTTTTAATTAGTCACCAACTATCCTTGCTGCTGACTTAAAAAAACCCAAGATAAAAACTCTACAGAGTAGTTAATCCCACATTTAGCTGGAAATTCAGGGCCCTCTGCACAGAAAACACCACGGTTTCTGCTTCTAACAAGTAAAAGCTTATGAATGTGGACAGGTCCTTGGGCAATTCTCATATGCTCTTTTACCCTGTTCTAGTCACACTAGTTCATTTTCCTATTTGCAAAAGCTCAAGAAACATCCTCAATTAAGAATGAGAACATTTAACTAAGCCTGGCTTGCTTACTCCTGGATGTCAATTATTCCTCAATGTTTTCTTCTCTGTACTCAAAACTCATCAGAGAGACCTTCTATCTAGACTATCCTGCATAGGATGGAAGATCCTGCCTTTTCTCCTACCACACTCCCAACCCTAGGACACACACACACACACACACACACACACACACACACACACTCCTTATATTCTTGTATCAATACAATACAATCAATACAAAACTGTATCAACACAGTTTTTCCATAGAATGAATTACTTTCCAATAAATCATTGATGTGACAATACATTTATTTCTCAAATAAACATATATACTAAGTATTTGTTTACTTCTTATTTATTTCCTAACTACAAACTCTATGAGGGCATGAAATTCCCTCTGATTTGGTTGCTGATATATTCAAGCTATTTTAAATAATGCCTAGTACACAATAGCCAGTCAATCAATGTTGGGTGCATGAATAAATAAATACATTTACTTTCTTAAGTAATTATCCAGTCTGAGTTTCTGTTGGGTTTTATAAGGCAGAAGTAGTCACCAATCATTTCTAATTACTTTTCCTAATGGAAGGTGACCATACTACAAGGTGTGAAGTAATTAATATTGCCATTTGGGGTGTTAGGGTTTGGATGTGGAATGTCTGCCCAAAGCTCATGTGGTAAAACTTCTTACCCAGTTGATGGCCATACTAAGAGGTAGTAGACTCTCAAGGAGGTGGGCAGTGTTGAAGGAAGTAGGTCACTGGCATGGGTGCCTTTGGTGGATCTAATTTGTTCCTCACCTCATCCTCCTTCTCATTCTGCTTCCTCCCATTAAAGGTGAGCAGCTTCCCTTGCCACACACTTTTCCTAAAATATATTGTGGCAGGGCAGGACAAAGTGGTGAGGCCAAGTTGAGCTGTTGTTGAAACCTCTGAAATGTTGAGCTACAATAAATCTTTGTTGTTTTTTTTTTTTCAGTTGTTTCTCATATTTTTGTCACAAATGGGATGCCAACCACGCAGGCTGTCTTCTACTTCCAACCTCCAGGATCAGCCTTTTGCCAAGAAAACTTTTCAAATATAGGAATTTGACAAACAAGATTTAAAATACTTAGTTCAAAGTATATTTCACAAGTTCTTCTTGCTTTACAAGTCTTATACTATGCACAGTGATATAGAAATGAGTAAAATTAGCTCGCTTTTCTCCTTTAACTTCTGCAAGTAACTTGATTTCACTATGGCTGTTTGAATTTGCAAAATGATATAATTATACTAATTAATGCCTGAAAGTGAATGCCAGGAAAGGCTTATGATTTTAAGATTATCTTGGGCTTTTTGAAAAAGCAAGCAAGCAAACAAACAAACAAAAACAAACAAAGGTAAAATTGTTAGATGTAAAAATAGAAAATAAAAGTGTTATTTAAAACTCAGCCATGGACCAGTGGTGACTCTGATAATTTAGTGAGGTTAATTTGTACTGTGGTTCATCTACATGTGAGAAATTACCCGTTGACTGCAGTTATAATCTTGCCCAGTACAGAGACTCCAAACATGTTCAGACATTCTCAAGTAAATCAAATTCAAAATACCGATTTGAATAAAATGAGTATTTTATCTTTCTATAAATATACTCTGCTCATGTCCTCATAAATAATATCCTTTATCAGGCATTATCTTTCTCTAACAACATCGAAAGTTGAAAGGTCCGTGGCTCATACAATCAGCTGGTGCCTTGTAGAAGACCAGAAGTCCTATGTCAGAATGAAATGACTTTAAATCTGTTATCTGCAGTAAGTTAACTAACTAAATATTGAATCTGAACAGTCTTCACAAAAGAGTTCTTTAAAAAAAAACATGCCACAGGGAGATATGGGAGGTGTTGGAGGGGAAAGAGTGCACTTGGATTTGATCAAAACACCTTATGTATGAAATACTCAAGTTTTTTTTTAAAGTTAAAATACTCATGTATGAATTACTCATTTTTTTAAAAGTTAAAAAAAAATGCTACAATCTCATTCAATTTGCAGATTTAGCTATCACTCATAGCCAATTTAGCTATCTCTAAATGGGATGAGGGTGTGCCTGTGTGTATAGTGGGATCCAAAACTTGCTAGGTGGACTTTTGTAAAATCTTTAATGTCACTAATTACAAAATTCACACAGCATGTCAATTATTCAGGTTATGGGAGACTTGTCACTGTTATTAATTAGATGACACAAAAGCGGGCTAGTGCTTTTGATCCAAACGAATTTCTCATTTCATCCAAATCAATCTTTAAAACTTTCAAGTGGGCTGTCCAAATGAAAGTAATTACATATAACCTCCAATTTTTTTTTTCACAAATTTGCATTCGTTCATCTCGAGAACTGTTTAGTGATTTAAATTAGGACCGCATAACAAGTCTTATCGCCTAAAATCTGCTGTATTACACCTCTGTCTTTCCTGATGGTTCCACTTTACCTCCTCAGGGACAGCTCGAATGTTAACAAAGCCCTTTCTGAAGACGATGAACACGCGGCGGGCTCCACAACGCAGAGCGGATGTTGCGCAGTCAAAGGCAGTATCTCCAGCTCCAAGTACAATCACGGCTCCCCGAATGGATGGCAACGGAGGGTGACAGGCGCACATCCCTGAACGATGAAAGGAGAAGCCCATTTTCAAGTAGAGAAACAATTTCTGCATGACAGCTCAAAAGAGACTTGTACTCAAAGCACTGTAAAATTGCATCTTGCAGTTTTCCAGGGTGGAGTGTCACTATCAAATTATTCTGCTTCGTTGAAAGACAGTTTTATTTCCATTTTTAAAATATGGTATATATGTAATTTCATACTCAGTTCCTTTAGCTCCCTTTTCTCCTTTTAGAAGGATTGCTACAACACATTTTGACGAGTTTACGTCAGAATAAAAATGTAATGAATCAATTAAGATTCTCTTTGTCGAAGTTGCAATATGTATTTTTATTTTTGCATCATTAAATTTCTGTTCCTTAGTAGAAAACAGTGATCCATATGGTCTGGGTCAATAATATGAACCATTTAATTAGAATATTTTATACATTATCTTATATAATTCCTAATACAGAGCTTTATTATATTACATTTAATAAATGTTAAAATTAACATGAGGAATAAATTCAGTTTTTGTAACTCAAGAATTTCTGAGAACTATGTCTAAATTAAAAGCTTTTCACTTAATTTCATTCCTTTGGTTCTGTCTGTTAAACTGTGAAAAAAGTAGTGTGATTTTCATTGTTTTAAAAATATTTTGTTTATTATTATTATTGTGTGTGTGCGTGCATGCGTGTGTGTGTGTGTGTGTGTGTGTGTGTGTGTGTATGCAGGTGCCCATGAGCCACGATGCACATGTGTTGATCAGGTGACAACTCTTAGGAGTTGGTTCTCGTTTGCTGCCTGTGAGATTCGGGGACGTAATCCAAATCTTTAGACCCGCAAGTGTCTCTACCCACTGAACCATCTCGCCAGTCCAAGAAATACGATTTTCCAATTGATTATTTTTCAAGGGTATCTACAGGAATATTTGCTATCCTTATGAAAATCCTTGGAAAGGAGGGAAATGCGGGTGGTATTCTGTACTGCAGAACACTTTATCATCAGAAGGATAAAGCTGTTGATAAGATAAATTACTATAATTTTTGAAACGGCACCACAGATGATGAATAGACCTATAATTTCAATAAGTATAATCATGTTGTTTGGAAGACTTTGTGTTTGGGATCAGACAATAGGGATTCCGTAATTCTTAAATATGTGCTTGGTGCACTATGGTCTTCCTAAACAAGGGGCAGGACTCAGGGGAGGGGGGAGTAGAGATAGAGGGCATTTTTCACGGTTATCTTCTGAATAATTTAACAAAAGAAGTTTCTTGCCTTTTTAAATTTTGCAAGAAAAAATCCTATGTTTTCATTATTTCCTCAAGTAATGAGATGTAGAAATAGCTGTAGCTCTATCTTCTGAAAAAACACTTAAAAGATTTACATTATCTAGTTTCAGGAAATAAACTATAGGTTCTTTATCAAGGACACCAGTGGAGCCAATACCTGGCAGTCTTACCGTCAGGCTGCTCTTCTTGGGGTACATGAAATAACAGGGTGTCTATCAAAGTGTCTTGCTTTAACTGCCTAAAATTACTGCTAAAGAAGAGACCTTGATCTTCCTGCCTCCGCAGACACATAACATGTTAGATATATGAAGACTCACCGTATTTCAAAACATCTCCCAAAGCAGAAATCTTACCATTATTACTAGAATGTCTTCCAATGTTTGCTAAAGCCTTTTTATTTTGAATTAATTTTTCACGCTGCAATTTAGACTTACACATAATACAATAAAAATCTTTATCATGGTGCTGTCTTGGAAGAATGGACAAATCGATATTTTTGGCAAACTGTAATATCAGGGTTTTTAATGTTTTACCTTGGTACTGTTTATTCAAGGATCCAGGTAAGATATGAACAGTGTCCTAGCAAGTTTGATTTTAATATAAATTTATAATGCCTGAAGCAACACAGACAAAGTTGAGAACAAAAGGCAATAGGTTTTACCTGCTTTACTGCCTTTGGCGACAAGTGGCAAGAAGTCTTTGGATGTATAAAACCCCTGCTCTTGTGTAAGGTCCTGGAAAATACGGTCTTTATTGGGTTCTGGCAAACCTATTCAATAAAATTCAAAGAATATCATTAGCACTGTACCAACTGGATAGGAAAATAAAATAACTACAATCTTTAAAATAATGGAGCTTTCAGCAGAAAAAACTTATTAACTTACAAAATAAAAATATACATAGCACACCCTAACAGACTTCATGGTATACCTTTAATATGAAACTAGTACACATTGTAAATCACAGATTAATTTATGTAAAACCACTGGCTGCTCTTGCAGAAGACCCAGGTTTGGCTCTGAGTGCCCAAATGGAGAGTAACAGCCCCACCTAACTCCAATTCCAGCGGATCCGACACGCTCTTCTGACCTGCATGGGTGCTGCATGACATGAGTGCACATGCACACATGCAGATAATACACTCAGATGCATATATGTATACACAGAGCAAGATAAACATATTATACAAAAATACATAGAACATAGTGCACAGTGTTATAGTGTTAAAGGGGAGAATCAAGTTAAATTTTCCTTGTGCTATAAATACAAAATTTTTAAGGAGAAATAAGGTCCTATTAAAAGCCCTTAACCATAAATTGAAAGAAAATATGGATACATATTTATCTAATTAATAAAGAAGGGGGGTCATTCCAAAAGAATGAATATAAAGATATAATGAAGAAAATTCCATTTTATAATAAAAATTCAAGTACTTGTGAATTTGAAAACTATAAATGACTTAGAGGATGAATGATTAGGGCTGGTGAGATGGCTCAGCAGGTAAAGGTGTTTGCCATGCAAGTCTGCTGAGTTGAGTTTAGTATGTAAAGATGGAAGGAGAGAACAGACTCTAAAAAGTTGTCTTCTAACTTCCACAAGCTGGCTGTGGCATGCTCACCACCATCATCACCATGTACACACACAATAATAGTAATACTAATTAATAGTAATACTACTAATAATAATGTTAGTGATTAAACAGATTAAATCATTTTCTGTATATCAAAATGTTTTATTAAGAAAATTTTAAAGCTATAGCCTGAGAAAAATAACACACAAACCCAACAAAGGATTTATATCCAGACTATATGAATGAAGTCTTATCAATTAAAAAGAAAATAAAATTATATGACAGACGTGAATCAGCCATCGGGGATGCACACAGCAAGAATGACCCAGAATGTTTAGCAGATTAAATCTTTTAGTTTTTAATATTCAAAGCAGCTTCTTATTACCAATAAGAAAAAGCATTAAATCTACAAAATGTACATCAATAAGAAAAACATTAACTGTTCAATAACCTCATAAAGAATAATGAAACAGGAAGAAGAAAATATATAAGTAGCTTATAGATCATAAAAATATGGGGCTGGAAAGATTGCTCAGCAGTTAAAAGCACTGGCTGCTCTTAAAGAGGACCCAGGTTTCATTCTCATTCCCCACATGGAGGCTAACAACCCCCTGTAACTCCAGTTCCAGGGGATCTGACCCCCTCGTCTGACCTCCACGGGCACTGCTGGGTGCACTTACATACATGCAGGTAATACACTCATACACATAAAACAAAAACAGTAAGTAGAATATTTGTGGTGGTTTGAATGAGAGTGTCTCCCACAGGTTCCAAGTATTTGGACGTTGTGTCCTCAGTTGGTGACACTGTTTTGGGAGGTCTTAGAAGGTTAGGCCATGCTGGAAGAAGCACATAACTGGGGGTGGGCTTTGGGAGTTCTTAAACCTCGCTGGATTCCCAGTTGCTCTTTGTTACAAGATGTGAGCACTAAATTTTCTTCTACATCAGCCACTTCTGCCGCCATGCCTCCTTGCCATGATGGTCTCTTGCCCCTTTGGAACCATAAGCTAAATAAACTTTTCCTTCTATAAGTTCCCTTGGTTGCCTGATATTTTATCACAACAACAGAAAAGTGACTAATACACCTAGTAACTGCACAAACTCATGGAGATTAAACAACACACTCCCGAATGATAAGTGGAATTTCCTCCATAAGACTGGCCTGTAGTCATGTCTGTGAGGCATTTTCTTGACTGCTAATTGATGAAGGTAGGCCTAGCCCACTGTGGGCAATGACATCCCTAAGCAAATGGACCTGTGCTGTATAAGAAAGGTAGCTGAGCAAGCCAGGGAAGCAAACCAGTAAACCATATTCCTCCATGGCCTCTGCTCCTGCCTTGAGTTCCTACCCTGACTTCCCTCAGTGATAGATTCTGACCTAAATGTTGTAAGATGAAATAAACCCGTCCTCCCTCTCAAGTTGCCCTTGGTTGCCATGTTTTATCACAGTAACAGAAAAGCAACTAATTAAAGATATTACTTTCATTTATGGCTAATGAAATGTAAGTTTAAATAACTTGTATGGTTTATTTATTTAAAAGTAAAGAATTCAAGAAAATCAAACCATCTAATAGGTGTGAAAACAGAGCTTACATACTCTTTTAGCAGGCACACACATTGTGGCTGAATTTCCAAACATTGTCGCTTGGAATCTATGCCACGGAAAACAAATACATGCAAATAGAGGTGTGATATAAAAAGGAATCAGTGCGAAAAATAAAAAAGGATGAACAAATACCAGAATCCGATGGTAGGAATAAATGAGTTTTACTCATTGTTCATTAAAAAAAAGAAAACAAAATTTGTCATTAAAATAAATATTTGAAAATATGTATCAGATTAGAGTCAAAACAGAATTCATTAAAATAGGATATGAAACGTTTGCAATATTATGAATTATAATATTATGTCAATTTTAGAAGAGTTAACCTATAGAACATGTGCTCTGAACAGTGATAACTTCTGACAGATCATGAATATTCTATTTTCAGATTTCTTTATTTTCCAATTTTTCTATAACATGTATCAATCAGCTATAAAAGTTTTTCTGTATGAACAGTGTATTTTAAAATGAAATGGAGATCTTTTTAAAGGTTAAAACCACATTCAATTTTATGTCTTATAAAGTTTATACTGAGTACAATATTATATAACTGTATTAACTCAGCTGTTAAACCTAAAAAGTTATAGCCAATTCTGAAAGAGATTCATCTTAGCTCTGGAAATTGTTATTGAATGCCAATGCTATTGTAATGAAATGCTTCCTAAGTATGTGGTTAGTAAATAAATAATTTAAAAAATGAATTTTCAAAAATAAGATTAATAATAAACTCAAATTAATTTAAAAGGATGAACAAAATGCATATTTTAGCCATAACTTTATCCAAGGAAAAAGAAAAGATAATGTCAATTCTAATAATTTGGGGAAATAGAAGTTTAGTTTTACATACTGCTAATGATCTACTAATGGTTCATTCTTCAGAGGTAGAGTTTATTTTAAAACTAAATGTGGTTATTGACAAACATGGAGTTATTAGCATGGACTAAGGATGACGTTGGTCATCTCAGATAAGGTAGGCTCCTATCTGATCAGAAATCGGGACAACCCTGTAGTTGTATTTAACCAGCAATAAACTTCCTGAGTCTGCTCAGATGAAGCAAATGTTTCCTTCCTTGTCGAGCATCCTGACCATCTCTCCATAAAGATCTGTTCATAGATTTAAGACCATTTTTTCCTTTAAAACATTGCTGTAATTATCTGAGAATTTTAGCCGATTCACTTATCTCTTCCTTAGTTTCTACATGAACCAAGGGCAAGGGGCTCCTCATTTTCTGTCCCAAATGAATATCGTTTAGGCATATTGAGAGCATCGCAATATTATATCAATGCGTAGTTTTTTATATAATTCAGTTTTAAAAACCTTGGTGGAGAGGGCTACGATGATATTAACATTTTAATGAAAAACAATTTTCCCCCAACTTAAAGATAACTGCGTTTAGCATGCACATATTTAGGCAAAAAAAAAAAAAAGCCACTTACATATGCTGCATGTTAAGATTTCAAGCTGCAAATGAGTGGATCATCTCATTCACTGCACCACAGACGGCATGCTCTCTATCACACTGCACCACAGACGGCATGCTCTCTATCACACTGCATCACAGACGGCATGCTCTCTATCACACTGCACCACAGACAGCATGCTATCACACTGCACCACAGACGGCATGCTCTCTATCACACTGCACCACAGACGGCATGCTCTCTATCACACTGCACCACAGACGGCATGCTCTCTCTCACACTGCACCACAGACGGCATGCTCTCTATCACACTGCACCACAGACGGCATGCTCTCTCTCACACTGCACCACAGACGGCATGCTCTCTCTCACACTGCACCACAGACGGCATGCTCTCTCTCACACTGCACCACAGACGGCATGCTCTCTCTCACACTGCACCACAGACGGCATGCTCTCTCTCACACTGCACCACAGACGGCATGCTCTCTCTCACACTGCACCACAGACGGCATGCTCTCTCTCACACTGCACCACAGACGGCATGCTCTCTCTCACACTGCACCACAGACGGCATGCTCTCTCTCACACTGCACCACAGACGGCATGCTCTCTCTCACACTGCACCACAGACGGCATGCTCTCTCTCACACTGCACCACAGACGGCATGCTCTCTCTCACACTGCACCACAGACGGCATGCTCTCTCTCACACTGCACCACAGACGGCATGCTCTCTCTCACACTGCACCACAGACGGCATGCTCTCTCTCACACTGCACCACAGACGGCATGCTCTCTCTCACACTGCACCACAGACGGCATGCTCTCTCTCACACTGCACCACAGACGGCATGCTCTCTCTCACACTGCACCACAGACGGCATGCTCTCTCTCACACTGCACCACAGACGGCATGCTCTCTCTCACACTGCACCACAGACGGCATGCTCTCTCTCACACTGCACCACAGACGGCATGCTCTCTCTCACACTGCACCACAGACGGCATGCTCTCTCTCACACTGCACCACAGACGGCATGCTCTCTCTCACACTGCACCACAGACGGCATGCTCTCTCTCACACTGCACCACAGACGGCATGCTCTCTCTCACACTGCACCACAGACGGCATGCTCTCTCTCACACTGCACCACAGACGGCATGCTCTCTC